GTCAAACTGAAGCACCTCCCAAGTCAACATGGAGGAGCCCAAGGGCTCCCCTGGACTTCAACCACCCTCTTCAGACCTCCCCACGGGAGCCCCAAATAAAATGGACCAGTGGGGAACAGGTTGATTTTTTTAGTGGATACAGGTACAACATATTCGATATTAAAGCTAATTTAAGGTTGTTGATTTGATTAAAATCAACTTCTCTTCAGTGTTATCAACTTCAAATATAATACAGATAACCAACTTTTGTTCTACCTGAATTTATTAGTTAAATTCATGTTATCTCTCTTGCGACCTGTCAGCAGAGGGGAGTTAATGGTTGATTTTGTCTGTCTCATGAAGTTTTCATGAAAATTTGTTAGGAACAAGTAAGTTAAATAAATAAAAACATTTATAGATAAACCTTTCAATGGCTTTCAAAAATTACTGGTAACCTAAAACTTTGAAGTTTTGCGATGTTAAATGATAAATTAGGTTAAATTCAGTGGGTATCTAAGTCTTTTCCAAATAGGATAAAATACTTAAGCATCAATTACTGAACATATCTTTGTCTGCTTTTGGCTTCTTGTTGCAGAGAAACTAAAGATACTTGGGTCTCTTGGTGAACATGCTTTGTGCCTTACTGAAAGACTGTACTATAAACAAAAGACGTTTCTAGAAATTTTGAAATATATTCACAGATTTGCCAATCTAAAGAATTCTGGTGTAATAATTCACAGTTTCTTACATGTTAGTTTTCAGAGGCGACTAAGGTTTCTAAGAATTAAAATTCTGATAAGTATGATTGAGACGTCTGGAAAATGATAAAGCAACTCTGTATGTAGGAAAGTAGGAGATATGTAAGAAAACTATAAGGAATGAGAATACATTTTTGATGACAGAAAAGGAAATAAGCTGTCCCGAAATGAGACTCGTTAGGTAGAGAGGGAAAAATTAGCACAAAATTTAAATGCAAAAGAAAGTTGTAGAAGGTCTGTGAAGGGAAATCTTTGGAAAAGGATTTTATGTGTACTCAGGAATAAGATTGGAATAATTGAGCCTTAAAATTACACGGATATAAAACTAAAAATTTGGCTTTCTTTCTGTTAAAAAAAAAAGGGACTTTCTTGGATTATTGATCTGCTCTTGATGAGAAATTATAAACAAGTTTTCTATATATTTTTTCAGGTCTTTGATTACTTAAGAAAACTAAATCTTCTCAATATGAAAGTAGTAAAGTTTTGCTAACAACTATACAACTTTCTGTAAAATCTCTTATGGAAACCTTGGTTAAACAGATAATTAAATATTAGGTTTTAGAATAATCAATGATCTTATGTAGCCACATGCTTTAAAAACATTCTGAGGCTTTTTTAAAAACCAAATTCCTGGAAATTCAAATCCTAAATGAAGTCTTTTTGAATAATTAGGCTTATTTAATATGTTAAGTTACATGGAAAGCAATCTTTATATCAGACAAATTAGATTTTAAAGCAAAGACTGTAAAAAAGATAAGGAAGGACACTATATCATACTTAAAGGGTCTATCCAACAAGAAGATCCAACAATTGTAGATATTTATGCTCCTAACTTGGGAGTAGCAAATTAATTAATACACCAAATAATTAATAAACCAATTAATAACCAAATTAAAGAAACACATTGATAATAATACAATTATAGTAGGGGACTTCAACACCCCACTCACAGCAATGGAGAGATCATCTAAGCAGAAGATCAACAAGGAAACAAGGGCTTTGAATGACACACTGGATCAGATGGACTTCACAGATAAATATACAAGGCATTCCATCCTAAATAACAGGATACACATTCTTCTCCAATGCACATGGAACATTCTCTAGAATAGATAACACACTGGGTCACAAATCAGCCTCAAACGGTACCAAAAGACTGAGATTATTCCTTGCATATTCTCAGACCATAATGCTTTAAAACTGGAACTCAATCACAAGAAAAAATTTGGCAGAAGTTCAAACACTTGGAAGCTAAAGCCCACTCTGCTCAAGAATCTTTGGGTCAACCAGGAAATCAAAGAAGAACTTAAACAATTCATGGAAACCAATGAGAATGAAAACACATCGGTCCAAAACCTATGGGATACTGCAAAGGCGGTCCTAAGGGGGAAATACATAGCCATCCAAGCCTCACACAAA